TTCATAAAAAAAACTATGCTAGGAAAAACAAATATGAGCATCTCAATGGTGATAAGTCTAAGGTCCGCAGGATTTAGAGTGCTCATAAACATTATACCATGTTTTCTGTGTAACCATTCAAGATTTATTCTTACAATTACATGGTATATAATTCATGATGTGTGATATATAAATAAGTGCATTTAAAATAGCATCTAAGAATATCACATGGCATATATACATCAACAGCAAATAAAAAGATACTATAATAAAATGTATAAATAGAAGGGTTTTATGCCTACATAATTTTCTGCAGGAAATTTCTTGAGGATTTAATTTGATAAATCAAATTCATGAGCCACGGCATGACAGCGGTGTATTACATGGATACGATCATGGGTGGAAGTGACAGCATAGGCGCATGGCTACGAGCCTCCAATTTGATTCTGTCGACGACAGCATGCTACAGATGGCGGAGGAGCAACTGCGGGTTGCGTTGGGGCTCTCGCTGTAACGGCAGCGATCGATGGGACCCCAAACCAGTCTTGCGATTACTGAGCTAGTGAGCATGCAAGCTCATGGTTAAGCATACATGCATGCGTACTTCATGTACGGTCGATATCAAGGCTGGTTAGATCGGATTGACGGCGCATGCCTACATGGTGCGATTCAACCACATCCCGTAGATGTTGCATGATTTAAAAACTGGTCATGTTGACAATACTTCATGTTTCGCTAATAACATTTGGAAAATAAACTCGCCGACTTCGGACGACGATAACTAAGCCAGTAGTACTAGATGCAACTGTTCGGCTAGCAAAATTTTAGTTGAAATTGGCTGAAAACACTGTTCTGACTGAATTGTTGTAAGAGAGAAAACACTGTTCCGACTGAAAAAAGAAGTCGAACAAGTCGAATATGGGGTAAGCCGAACGGGGCCTCATGTGCTGAGATTATGTGGCACTGTAGCAAGGTTTTCAATCCGTCATGTTTAACTAACCCGACGGCCGGCGGCGGCGCATGGATGAGCCGTGTTGAGCGCGCGGCGTCTGCGTCGTGTCCCTCCTGCTGGCGCCGTGGGGTATGTCCGGCTGCCTCCTGCTGTGTATCCGACATCGGCCATATGTGTAAACAGAACACAGCCACACGGGGCTTGCACTCGGCCGGATATATATACATGCACCTCAAAGTATGCGCACAGCAAATTGTTAAGTACGAGTACTATTTTCAAAACCTTCGGAATTATCCTCCGACACATACGTGGGCCCTGCCGAGAAAAAGTCCCATTGCCCATGGAGAACACTAGGTAGTCAGCCTGTTCGTTTGGCTGTTGTTTGTCGTAAACGATCGAAAATTTTTAGCTAGAATAATATTTTTCTCTTATATAAACCAGTTAGCAGTACTTCTTCACAAACCAGCAATGAAACGAACTAACCAACCGAACAGGCTGAATATCTTGCATATTTAATTTGTTTATAGGATAACTCACGTAACGTTCTTCATGGACGTATGCATGTATATGAGATTAAATTAAAGATTACCAGATTGATCCATTAGCGTCTAGCAGATCATCATATTTCGTCATGCTTCTTGCATGTATGTATATGTACTGCACGTACAGATTCTATATGGCATTGGAAAGCATAGACTAGCTCGAAGGCTAGCACAATAAAAGAATCTGCGAGATCTTTTCCATACCTTTTAAAGCATGCCAATTTGATCTACCTCATATACCGCGTAGGACAGTGGTTAGTAGATACATATCGCGTAGGGCGTTTAGCATTATCGTAGAACTGTCTGCTTGACAGTGATGGTGCATGTCGATGTAGTTCTGATTGGTAGCACGTAGAGGTAGTAGATTCGTTCCGTTAACAACGTCGGGGAAGTCGACGTCATCGAAGTAGTCGCGGCGGGACGTCGACGGTACAATCACCGGCATCAAAGATCGACAATGGCTTCAACGGTGATATCAACGAAGAGCTTGTCGTGCTGATAACATGTTATAAAACATGTTGCCAGCAGTTAGGACCATTCCCTCTCCGTCTCTCATGATCAACATAGTAGATGAAAGTAGAACACATAGAAGAGATAGGAGACTATTCTTTTATTCCTCTCAATATCCGTAATTACAACATAGAGCTCCCACGTATATATAGTCCTGCCAAGGTCTAAGAGTTTGGTAAGAGCCCACGAACAAATAGATTAGGATTAGGATTCCTCATTTTCCTTTCATTCTAAGATAGAGTCCGTAAGTTTTACAACAATAGTAACACATGCATCGTAAATATATATTCACAATATTGGTTTACTATCGTTATGGTAAATCCGAGTGACCATAGTGTTCTCTGGCTCATTTGGAGCTTTCTTGAATCCGAGCTTTCTTAATCCCTGGAAGAATAACAAGCTTTGAGAAGTGGTTGAGGCACTTCAAGCCAAGGAGAGTGCTTAAGAGTGATCTTAGTATACTCCCCTGGTCCTGTAAAAAACGTAATTCTAGGATTGAGTGAGTACGGAAACCAACTATGCATCCTAAATGACGAAAATACCCCTAGCTGTTTCCCTTGTCTTCGGTGGACCCGCCTAAAGAAACTTCACGAGTGGCTGAAATGAGTTGGCTGGGAACATGACTTGTGGGGTAGTGCTGAAACCAGTGGTCCAGAGTAAGGATGAAAACGCCCGAACCAAACCGCATCGTTTTCTATATTTACGCCCCGTTCGCTGGTCGGAACTTTGGCTGAAACTGGCTGAAAAATACTGTTCCGGCTGAATTGTTGTGAGAGAAAAACACTGTTCTGGCTGAAAAAACAAGCCGAACAAACCAAATTTAAGACAAGCGAACGGGGCCTTAATCCGATCGAATCCGCATTTTCTTGTCCGACTTTACCGTTTTCGTTTTCGCATTTGAGATGTTTCGTATTTCAAATGTAAAAGTAGAAAACGGTTTACACATTTTTCGACCGTTTTCTATTTTTCTACTTTTAATTTGAAATATTCCGAATTTAAAATTCGGTTTAAACCGAATTTGACCAATCGCAGGTCATCTGACCCGATTACAAAGTCGCTCACCACGAATCGCTGCGTTCTTTCTCTTTGGTGGCTAGCGCCCTCTCTTATAGATGACGCCCACCTCATCTCTCTTCTTATTATGTATTTGGTCGTGCACTTGTTTAATGCTATGCACTTGAATTAGATCATGCACTTGTTAGTTGTGAACTTGTTATGTATTTGGTCGTGCACTTATTTAATGATATGCACTGTGGGTCGGTATTTCGTATTGAATTTTCGCATACCGACCGTGTTCGACATAATTCCGCTCGAATTGGTTCGTTTCCGAAATTCTAGATATTCCGTAAGTTCGTGTTCGTTTTCGTGTCCGGCTTGTCTGCTTTCGCTTTCACTTTCATATTTTAAATATAAAAGTAGAAAACGGTTGAGGAGTTTTTCGACCGAGTTCGACCGTTTTCATCCTTAGTCCATAGTGCACCGCGTCCGTGCGTAGGGCTGCAGGCTTTATTGCTGAGTGAGTCTTAGCAGCTGACACCCTAGCATGTCCTCTGGGATTGCGTTTTTTGTGGGATAAAATTTAAACTCTTGGATTGTATTTTTCTTTTCATAACTAAAAGGACTGCCTTTTTTTTGTTTACAAGGGAAACCTATCATGAGGTTTGAGGTGTATGGTTTTTAATGAGGAATTACATTGACAAACTCTTTCATGCCTAATAAATCATGATTTTTTTCTCATATTTTTCTTGTCGCTCCTAAAAAAGTAAAATATGCAGAAATGGGGTCGCCTTCGGCATGGCACACCCAATATCACCAAGTATGCCATCAGCAAGGGTCAATGGCCTGCCGCATCAATGGGCTCAAGGGATTGTGACCCAATGCACACCGCCCTAAAAAGAGCAATGAAACCTTTGAGAGGAAAAAAAATCTCAAGGATCTCATAGCCAAAAATCCAAATCTCAACCACTGGTAAAATAATGTGCCATGGGAGCTCCCAATAAATAGTCAAGGTTGTGCACAAATCCACCAGTTCTTTGTGAGAAAACTTCCAACCTCATGGTAACAAAAAAAACTTAGTGAAACATCTCAAGGAGCTCAAGGCTATCATAGCTAACGATCTAGACCTCAACCACTCCCTGCCAAGCAAAGTGGCATGTAAAGTCCCAAAAAATAATGATCTAGATCTCAAGGCTATCATAGCTAACGATCTAGACCTCAAGGCTATCATAGCTAACGATCTAGATCTCAAGGAGCTCAAGGTTGTGTAGATTCAGGGTCTGTTTGTTTGTGTTTTATGTGAGCTTTTGGATGTTTCAATAGCCTAAAAGCTCCCAAAAGCCAAAAGCTAAAAGCTCACTATAGGTTTTTAGGTTTATAGGAGTTGTTTGGTTTTTGAAAGCTTCTACTCCCTCCGGTCCAGTTTATAAGGCATTTCGCCTATGTCAAAAGTCAAACACATTAAACTTTGAGAATAATTTGGTCAACATTTTTTAACTATTGTTATACAAACTTGATACTATAGATTCATAATCAAAAGTACTATCCAATAATTATAATTTTATAATAATCATACATAATAAAATATAGACTACACCTTATAAATCAGATGGAGGGAGTAGTAGTCTAAAAGTGATCATAAATAGAACCCCGTTTTAGAAGGTATTCTATGCCAAACAGAGCCTAAACGATGCATCGCGTCCCTGGGCTAACCTGCCCCAGATGCAAAACGAGGCCTAAATTAGCTCATGGTTACCCTTTATCAGCGTCAATGGGCCTTTGGATCTCTTTTTCCCAGCGCACGGGCGGCCCACGAACGGATCGGGCGCTCCTCTCCATCCCATCAGCCCACACGCGCACGGAGACCCCATCTCTCTCCTCTCCTCGCCGGCGTTCTGCCGCATTGCGAATTCGAATTCGAATTCGAATTCGAATTAGAGCCTGATTCCTCCCCTCTCCCCTACCTTTCTCTCCCTCACGCGGCGAGCAGAGGCTCGGTGAGGACCGCCCGGATCGACAGGATGCAGCAGAAGCCCGACGACGCCATGGAGGAGGCGGCCGAGGCGGCGCCCAAGGAAGCAGCGGTTACAGGGCCGGAGCTAGGGTTCTGGCTGGCGGCACGGCGGCGGCTCGCCCCCGACGACCCGTTCTTCGCCGCTGGGGACCTCGAGCGCGAGCTCCTGGCCAAGCACGTACGTTTTAATCTCCCTTCCCTTTCCCATCCCTTTATCCTGCCTCCCCGCTTCAACGCACGCTGATCCCTGCTGCGAACGCGTCGGTACGGCATGCCTGAGGAGATTCTTGTTCCCATGGCCATTTGGGGGCGATGCGAATTCCGATGCGGGCAAGTCGATTTTAGCGCCGAGGGTTAGCGGTGCGGCGGGCGGCCCTTGATTACCGCACGAAACTGCCGGGAGCGATGTTTCTCGGGGTTTGGATTGGTTGTGCTTGTACGGGTCCTAGTGCTCTGTACTGTAGGACGGTTGGTCCAGATCCATAGGGTTGAAGTTACGGAGAGCTCTAGCAGTGAATTGATGCTATCCATTCGTGTTCCGTGACCATGATAGGAGCACCCTCGATGTTCTGAAATTAGATGCTCCCTTCAGCTTGTCGACTCCTTTCGTTGTGCAAGGCTTGCACATAATTTCTGCTTACTTTTTGTTTCTTTGTTTGCCATGAAAGCTTGCCCTGGATCTCTCTGAAGATGACCGCAACCAGCTTGAGAAGATGGAAGTAGCCAGCACGTGGTAAGAACTTACCTTTGTTGACATTGATGAACCATTGTAGGGACTCTAGTGGAGAACACCATAATTAGCTAATAATTAAGCTGAAATTCTGTCTGGTTTCCATATTATCACTGATAAAAGGCAACTAGAAGTTACTTAGTCAGGCTCCTACTTTTAATGCCTGAGATTAGTGCGGATTATGTTTCTTCATCAGATGCATACATCTGTGGTCTTCATTCACAATACGTAACCATTAGGTCCTGATGCCTGGTAACTGCAGTTTTATGTCCGTTACAATTTAGAGGCTTGGTCTCATATATGACTAATAAAAGAGGGTAAATGGAAGACATGGCACTGCCTACAAGCACCATCCTAATGCACAATCTGCCAGTAGCAGGAAACACAAGGACAAAATAGTTCACCATGCCAACCTATCCATCCCATAAATGGTGTTAGTGAAGTCGCATCGTTTTCTTCCCTTCTAGAATGCTTGGCGTCTATCAAATACAGCTTGTTCTCTTACTCAAGGATTTAGTCTCTACATCAGCATATTATCTTTATTTCGCACTGCCTTGAGTTTTTGTCTTTGGGTTCTAAAGCTACATGGATGCTCCTTTGAGGTGTACTCTACATGAACGCTCTCATTGACTCATTGTATTATGCTTCTTTTCGCCAAAGGAGCTTCTGACTCCTTGAGTTCCCTGTCACTTGTCACATAGGTTGGTCTTACCAACACAGAAGAATATGGGAGTGCCTTCTGTATAACTAGAACCAGACATTGTCTGCTCACCTTCAAGACAGTTGCCTACTGTAACACTGAAGGAAAAGTCTATTTAAAGTTAACCAGAGGCCCTTAGGATAGATTGATGAGGCATGTTTGTCACCAGTTTCAAGGCCAAAAGGCTTCTCATGCAAGACAAGGAATAAACTCTCCTAACATCAAGATGTTGTGTTCTATGCACTGCAGTGAGTACTTTCTCATATTACATTTTTTCCTATTCATTTTCTCATGTGTTTAAAAACTCTTGCAGCACAGTGTTTTGCCCAATTGCCGGTTGTGGTGCCCATCTAGGTTGTCTGGAGGAGTTTGAGGACCACTATGTCACTCGCCATACTGCTTCATGCTCTGTATGTTCACGAGTTTATCCAACTTCGAGGTTGCTGAGCATCCATGTTTCTGAGACACACGACTCGTATTTCCAAGCAAAAGTTGCCCGTGGTTTTCCAATGGTAATGATCATATGTTTGTTTATCAGTTACACAAATGGATTACTTGTACATATTCGCAAATTGTAGAGAAACTTACAGATGAGGATTTCAAGTATAGCGTCTTTTTAGAATGTAGACTGATCAGCTCAAATCATCTGTAATATTAAAATCAGAATCAGTCACCATTAGTTTCCTAATACTGCTTATAAGCTTTTTATATAACATTAGCATTGTTTTCTCTGCAAATTTACAGAAGTGCTTTTTAGTCTCACAAATCACCATGTATCTTGATACCTGCAACTTTTCATAACAGTATGAGTGTTTGGTGGAGGGTTGTGGCATGAAATTGAAGAGTTACAAGAGTCGGCAGCAGCATCTCATTGATAAGCATCAATTTCCCAAATCATTTGAGTTCTTCAAAAAGGCGCGGGCCTCCCAACGTCAGCGGCAAAAGTCCCAGAGGAGGCAGACTGCTCACAAGGGTGAAGAGACAAGGGACAATTCAATGGACGTCGATGGAAAAGGTGCAAGGCAAACAAACTGGAGGCATCGGCCGAAGCAACATGCTCATAATGATTTGAAAGAGAGCAAGCAGCAGCATAAGGAGGCCAAGGAGAACGAAATGGATGTCGAACAGAAGATTGATGACCTCACCTCTGCTGTATCGAAGTTGAGCACAGCAGATTCTACGCCTGCAAGCGTAACCTTTGGCCACCGTCGCTCTCGTGGCCTTACCTTTGTGCCAAGGTCAATCAGGCAGAACAAGCAGGCTGCCTCCCAGCTGGAAGCAACAAATGACTAACCACTGTTATTTGGTCTTTTGGTAGTTCCAGAATCTGGCTTGGAGCTATTAACTTTGTATGAATGTTTGATCTTGGGTGTTGTACACGGAAGCTCAGGCTTCCACTGATATCCTTGGATCACGAAGTGGCAAACGTTTCCATGGCTGTGACAAATTTTGTTATGATGTAATGATGCTACTGATTTGCAGAACGCAGCTAATGTTAGCTGTTGCACACTTGCAGTTTCACTGCAGTGGGCAGTGGCCCACAAATTATGTAGGTTGGTTTGAAATGTTGAATAGTTTCTGTTGACCCGCAATGAAGACATGCTCTGTTCGGCTTGAACTTATCAGCCTGGATGTAGTATTTTTTTTCTTTACAACAAATCAGCAAACAGTACTTTTTAGTCTGGCTTTTTAGCGAAGCGAACAAGGCCATTGGCTACTCCAGTTGCATGTGCCTTGTGTGTGACAGTATTGCAGAGGAATCTACCATGCGGTCATGGGATAAAAAGTTGTCCATGCCTTTGGCACACTTCGCCATGTTGTTCTGGTTATTCTAGTGGAGTGATAAGACTCCTTGTGCTAGAACGGTAATGATTAGACCCGGGCGTTCGTCCATCCACACGGACCAACCCGCTCGCGCCGCTCGCCTACAACACACGGTGCCGCTCGCCAACATCGCAAAAAGAAAAGAAAAGAAACCATCGACGTGCACTCCGCTCTGTACCCACGGCCATCGCAGGCGACACCGTCGCTCCCACCCCTCGCCCGGTCGACGCTGCTGGCTCCGCCTCGTCATCGTCTTCGCCCCAGCCTCCCCTTCCCCCCCTCTCTCGTGGCCCAAAGTGCGGCCACCTCCGCGCGCGCTGCGCATGGGCGGCCCAATGGTGCCCCAGCCGTGCGGCGCAGCCCCCCGGTGGGGTGGCCGCTCACCCACATCACTCGCCGCGTGCCTCCGCCCCACTCTGGCTTACTGCTCCTTCCACCAGATCCAATGCGTGGTGAGAGATCCGATGGTGGTGGGGACTGCGGCGTCGGCTGCAGGGGCTAGGGGGCTGCGTGTCGAGCCCACGATACCAGCGGCCACAAAGGGGTCCCCGCTGGCCTCGTAGTAGGTGGAGTCCATCTGGTCATGGTAGCGACGATCGCGGCGGCCTCCGGTGAATTCCACACGCCGGTGAGCCTCCATTTCGCAAGCAGCAAGGAGATATTGTAATGTGCTGAAAACGCATGTTGCAAGTATATATTTCAAGTGTTTTCGGGTGTTTCAGAGGTATGTTGCAATTGTTTTACATGAATGTTGCAAAAGTAGATCAGAATGTTGCATATGTTGCAATAGTTGTACACATTTGTTGCAAAGGTCTGTTCTCAACGTTTCATCTGTGTTTTTGGACGTATGTTGTAAGTGTGTTTTATCTGGATGTTGCATATGTTTCACGCATATGCTGCAAATATTTTATCTAGATATTGCGTATGTTTGCAATGGTTTTCAAGTGTTTGTCATGTGTTTTTGCAAGTGTTTCAGAAGCATGTTTCAAGTGTTTCATTTGTCTACAAACATATGTTGCATCTTAATGTTTTAGAAATAGATCGGTTATTGTCGTCCCTATGCTAGAATTGCTGGTCTGAGTTATGCTGTGCACAAGTCCAAAACTCGATGTGGCCATGTGGGTTCCAAAGCTGAGGTCACGACACATGAGCAATGGCCATGGGCCCCTGTTCGACTTGCTGAAACTTGGCTGGAAAACATTATTCGGCTGAAAATGTTGTGAGAGAAAAACATTGTTCCGGCCGAAAAAAAAAGCCAAATAAGCCGGATTCAAGGTAAGCCGAATGGGGCCCATGGTGTATTTGACAACCAAAGCAGGATCGCTATTTCACATTGTGACAAACCGGTGATTTCTGACGTGCGTATGCGCGTTTCTAATGAGAAAATTCACAATGAAACTTTCTCTACCCTACTTAGCACCTAAAGTTCAAATTTTCTCTATTTGTTCACTTTTATTTGAAAAACGTTGCTCCTCCTTTATTTGATATGTAACGGTGTTTTTTTATACTAATTTGTAACGGTGTTAACTCTAAGGGAAAAGAACAATTTTGCTCCTCTTTTGTTTGCCAGTCAGGTCAGTCATTTCTTGGGCGTCCATTATTTTTCTATTACGGTTCTTTTTGTCAGTCCAGGCTAGTTTAGCGCACATTTTTTTGTGTTAGTACCTTTTTTTAGTTATCATATTTTTTATCGTTCCATTTACTGGCTAACCAAGAACATATCTAGACACTTAAGATTCAAATGCACCACGACAATAAACCAAACAAATTTGAGAGCAAATCTAGGTTCACATCCACACATGAACACTACCATCCAACTGGTTCACATAAGAGATCTCTTCACATAAATACAAGACAATTTGCAAACAAGTTCACATCTAGTACAAAGCATTTAGTTCCTCCGTCAAAAAAAAAAACACCGCAATCCTAGCGTTCAAATTTTGTCAAAAAAAAATGCACACAGAGTGCCAGGCCTGCATCTAAGAGCGTTGGACCCATCTAGAGTAAGGGGTGTTTGGATGCTTCTTCTAAACTTTAGTCGCTGTCCCATCAGATATTTGAACATATGTATAGAGTATTAAATATAGACTAATTATGAAACTAATTGCATAGTTTGCGACTAATTTGCGAGACGAATTTTTTAAACCTAATTAGTCCATGATTTGACAATGTGGTGCTACAGTAACATGTGCTAATTATGCTTAATAAATTCGTCTCGTGGAGTACTAACGGATTCTGTAATTTATTTTTTTATTAGTATCCGAACATCCCATATAACACCCTCACATGACACCTTCTATATTTTAGTCACGAGATCCAAACACACCCCCTCGAGAGCAGCGCAATGCATCTTCCACTCTTGATTCGTGTCCGGTAGACAAGAAGCTACCACAAGCGAAATAAAAAAGAGCTACCACAACCCTTATGAACGAACATGGTTTCTAGGGACATTATTGTAATTTCCCATCTGTCTTGGTACTGTGCTTGGTCGTACAATTCCATTTTTTTAAGGACCAAAAGAACATGAGATTTTTTAAGGACTCCATCTTCTTTTACTTCTTGTGCTCAGTTTTTGCTCCTTGTGCCTGCTGCGGGACTATCAAGTGCTAGCTTCTGTATTTTCCAATCCTTTTTTAAGAATTTCCTTCTTTTTCCTTTTGTGCTTCACCTTCTTAGCACCTTCAGGTTCGTCTGTGGTGTAGAAAATTCAATCGAAAGTGCCTCAGACTCAGGTTGATAATGACTTCCACCTTCTAACTAATCCACGTAATCACGGAGGCACGGCATGCGTTGGGTGGATCGCTTCCTCGGGTGCTCCGCGGGGTCGGCCGGGCAGTGGGCAGAGGCCGTGTGGGCGGCGTCACGCGGGCGGCGGCGACATGTACGGGTCAGCGCGCGGCCACTGCCAGTGCCAGCCGCCCTGCCGGGAGCCAAGGCCTGGGACGGTGCGCCGCTCCGGGCGACGCGTCACGTCGCGTGCCACGGTCACGTGGCCCATCACCGGCCGCTCTGTGCCTGACTGACGGCGTGTTTCGAGGGCGAAATAAAGCGCCTGTGATGATGATGATTACACGTAAAATAATCGCCAGGATAGGGTTCGTCGCACCACGAGTGTGCCATCGTCATTTCGATTTCGTGGTGAGCAGCTACACGCAATTCCAAAGTCGAAATCGACCGGTGGATTTTCCGTGTTCGACGCATCTTTTACCATGATTTCGTGCCCATGGAACACGTTTTCTTGTGCGAGATTATACGTATACTCCTTTCGTACAAAAAAATACTTCCCATCTTTTCAATAGTCACATAATTTTAAATTAAACCAAATAAGTATTATTAGATTAATTATATAAAGAATTTTTAATATTTAGGATTAGGATATTAAATAAGTATTATTAGATTAGTATATAAAAAATTATAATACTTTGTCCATTTGTACACACGCTTTTTGTAGAGGGACAATAAATCACCCATCCTGATGATGAGATGGTGTCTTATAAGAAATGACGTGATGATTCGTCAACCAAATAAAAAAGAAATGAGTAAGAAGATAATGCACCACCCAATTCCTGAAACCAAATGCCCCGTTAGGATCTAATACCAGGAAAATTAGATGAAAAATAGCTCCAACAGATCTCTTTTTTCTATTTTTTCTCAATTCCTCGAAAACTCCCCCACGCCTCTAAAGAAAGGGGAGACCCATCGGTCGCCTTTTCCTTTTGCCACGAACCATTTCTCCCAATGTTCTGTTCCCTGTCGTCAATCGTCGGTTCCCATTGCATCTAGCGGTTGGCACTTCTTTGCTACGGGGCTGGCAACCACGAGGCCAGGAACTAGTCGGAATCACGTCGCCGCAGCTATGTCGACCTTCCCCGGTTCCACCATTCCAACGCCGCCGGCATGTCGATCTCCGCCATAAATTTGAGTTTTTTATGGCATCAAAATAAGGTTTAGACTAAAAGAGAGTGGAAATGGAGAAAAGGTAATATAGAGGATGCATTTTCCCCCAATCAGCTAGGGCGTCATCCCCTTTAACCACAAATCATGTTTTCTCGATCCCCTTTAACCAATTATAGGGTATTGCTTTTTCTCAATTTGGGGAAGATGCTCTAAGAGCTTCTCTAACAGTAGTAGAAAATCTCAACTCAAAACTAGTTATTGGAGGAGTTATGATTTTTTTGACGGTTTTTAAAGGCTTCGTCTCCAACAGAATGAGAAAATCTCACCCCAATATCTCCTCTGACATGCGGGGCCAATTTGTTATCCACGCCCTTTCTTCTATTCTTTCTCTACTCACCCGTTCGTTCCCCCATGATCTCCGACTCTCTAAGCGCCGCATCCTCTTCCTCTGCCACCCTACTCCGTCGCCACTCCCTCCCTTCCTATGCTCCTCCTCCCATACTGCTTCTCCTTGGCCACCTCTCCTCCTTCGTCGTCACCTCGTTTGTTGGGCACGTCGCCAAGCCGCGCCGCATCCTCTTCCGCCGCCCTCCTACTCCGAGACCGTCGGTGACTTGAAGACGTCAAGTGCGTGCTACCGCTTGTATTGGGACGAGTCCAGGTCCCTCATCATTGAGGGGTCAGGGCTAGATTTTGAGCGGCTAGTTGAGAAAAAAATTTGCTCATTTGTGGTGAGATTGGGGTACTGTTGAAGCTCTCAAATTACAGTTTTTTCTTACTGGGGGTGGAAGGGGGACTGTTGGAGATGATCCAAGCATACCAACCATTGTCTATAGGATCAGCGCAGCTCACCTCCATATTTACTCTGTTATTTAAAAAAACTCAAACAAAACATATATTTTTTAAAGGAAGGATTTTATTAATTCACAATAATTATATCGGATTGATACAGTAATGCAACATGTATATGACCCAAATTGCGCGGGCAAAGAGCACTAAAAAAATTAACAACCAAAATACACTGTTTTTTTTTTGACAAATTGAAAGCCGATGTCATGAGAATCCGCATGGAAGATGGAACTGAAGCTTGACCATCTCTAGGTGCAATTTTCCAAGTTCCCTATTTTCGCTGTCCTTCCAATATCCAAAGCCTTAAACAACTCCCAAATTCATAAGTACCTGACTTGGTCGGTGCGGTAGCATGTTGCCACGTGTGCACGTCCCCATCTCCGTCATACCGAGACAAATGCAGGCGAACCTCCAATAGCGCCACGCCAAGTGTCCTCTATCCCTCTCACACTGTGGTTTCGTTTAGAGTATTTATTTCCTATATATATTAAACCTCAGCTTCCCCTACCCTGAAACATCACCCAAACTCACCCAAGCAAGCAAAGACACATTTGGCTCACTCACACCCACTCACTCACCTGTCCGTCTATCATCTCTAGCTAGCTTCCAGTGAAACCTGCAAGCGACAGCACAACCAGACCACCACCAGCACAACCAGCTGAGAAGAAGGCTGTAGAAGATGGGTAAGCTGTGGACGATCCTCACTCACCTCCACTCGCTTGCAGGGTATGTCCAGTTCATCTTCACTGCTTCTGATTTTTTTTCTTCACTTCTTTTATTTGGTTTTGTCGTGCTTCTGTTTTCAGCCTTTTGTTAATTCAGTTATGATCGAGTGTGAAAACCATCTGCTGTTTGTTTGTTCCTGAAGGCCAACGGTGATGCTCCTTTACCCCCTGTACGCGTCGGTGCTGGCGATGGAGAGCCCGTCCAAGCTGGACGACGAGCAGTGGCTGGCCTACTGGATCCTCTACTCCTTCATCACGCTCATGGAGATGGTCCTCGAGTCCCTCATCTACTGGTAATCACTTTACTGACTGATAAATCTCATCCGCGATCTTGGTGGCTTAATCTTCTTGAGAAGACTTAACCGGAAGATTTGTCTCAAATGGACTCTGTTTGTTTATTTCAGGATCCCGATTTGGTACGAGCTGAAGCTGCTGTTCATCGCGTGGCTGGTGCTCCCCAATTTCAGGGGCGCCGCGTTCATGTACGACAAGTTCGTGCGGGAGCAGCTCCGGAAGCACGGCCTCACCGCCGCCGGCTCCGGCAAGAAGGACGACGGCAAGTCGTCGTCGGTGTCGCCGTCGTCCAAGGACAAGGATAAGCCCAAGAGCAAGTTCCTCGCTTTCGTCACACCCAAGAAGGTGAGCTCCTCGACACCAGATTCAGCTCTTGCCACACCTGCAGATCACGATTATTTTAAAGTACGAGTATTTCCTTTCTTTGACTGAAGATGTCATCGGTGTGTTCTGTCTGAATGTTTCAGGATCATGAAGCTTGCTGAAGATGAAGCTGGGTGCAGTGATCCCATCCCTGGACCATGTCCCGGCAACCTGTAGTGTACTCCACTAGATTTCTGTTTTTGTTCTTCTCTAGAAATAGAGTTGTTCGATGTGTCTATGGCCAAGGTCTGGGCGTTCGGTTTTACCGAACCGAACCGATCGGTTCTTCGGTTTATGAGGAAGTTAGTTTCTCATGAAACTCGGTACCGATCGGTTCTTCAAAAAACTCGGTACCGACAAAGTTCGGTTTCGGTTATTTCGGTTCGGTTCTTGGTTCCAACCGAACTAACCGACCAATTATTGAACATGTTACATTAGAGAAATTCAAACATTTTGACTGTTTTCAAGGCATAAATGACATGGCAACATATGCAAATCAAAAAGTCACAACCAAATAACCACAACCAATACATCAGCACATTCACAAATCACAAGTTCACAACCCAATTACTGATCTCTTGGTACCGATTTAAAAGTTCCTCCCATCGGTTTCGGTTCTTCGGTTATTTCGGTTAACCAAGGGAAGTAACTGATTTAACCGAACAAAGTTTGGTTCCTAAGAACTGAGAACCGAACAGGTAACCGAAATTTCGGTTCTCAGTAAAATTTGCCCAGGGCTAATCCTGTACGTGTGAACATCAACTTTAACATGGAATGGAGATGAGACGACCTTTCGGTGTTGATGATGTGAATGTGTGAATTTTATGTCAAAATATACAGTGTTCTGGGACAGACTTTTCACTCTGAATAATTTCTCTGCTTCCGTTCTCTCTGAAAACGGCCCGTTTCTGTTGCTAGGGCCTAAATCTTATGATTAAGTGCAAATCTGAACAGAGTCATTAAAACATCACTTTATAGTCTCTTCTGATACATCCCATAAAACATCACTTTGTAGTTTCCTAAAGGCCTGTCTCGATGGGCCAAAAATCGAGCCCAGCCCTTGTGGATGGCCTGCAAATTCGTACTGTTTGTGGAAATAAAACAGACTTTCCTTGCTGCTGAATGAGTTCATATTCTGTTGTTTGAACATGAAAGTATACCAGTTAATTGGACAATTTCTACTTTGCACCTGTTGGGCGGCTTCCCTTTAAGACACCTTTTGGATTGCCGGATTTTTTTTTACGTTTCCAACATTTTTATGTGAAAATGAACTAATTCTTATGAACAAAGGTGTCTGGGGCCTAATGTTTCACCAGCTTGGCAACCATGCAGTCAACATATCTACTGTTGACAGCTTAAAGCTCACTTGGCCGGCAACCATCTGTTTTTTTTGCCGCCCCTTTGTACGCATCACCATCATCCAAACAACAAGCATAGGTCATGCCGTCAATAAACCACAGGCTTGCAATTGCAAACTAAGGAGGCAAGGGTGCAGTTAATTGTTAGCGTCGCTCCAAATGGGCAAGCTGTGGACGATCCTATCTCACCTTCACTCCTTAGCAGGGTATGTGATGTGCAGTTTCATTTATTCATTTGCGAATTCAGTTTCACACCTATGATTTGCTTGGCCTGTTTTTCTTTTCTACCAACGCCCAACGGTGATTCAGTTTCATAATTTTGGTTCTCTTCCCCTTTCAACGTTGCTGCAGGCCAACTGTCACTCTGCTTTACCCCTTGTAAGTTCACAAGAATTTCTACTCTTTTATCTGTAAAATCTGATACTACATGAATTTGGTGTGTTTTTATGGAAAATTTATACATGATATACTTTGCTATGGATGGGCCTGCACTCTACAGATATGCATCGGTGCAGGCGATGGAGAGCTCGTCCAAGCTCGACGACGAGCAGTGGCTGGCCTACTGGATCCTGTATTCATTCATCACACTCATGGAGATGCTCCTGCAGTCCCTAATCTACTGGTAATTTTGTTATTCTGATTTCTGCCCAGTTTCCCTCTGCAATTCCACATAGAGGCTAACATCCAGTGGGAACAGGTCAACAGGATCCTGTTACTTGTGTGCAATCATGGCCGTCTGATTAGCATCTCTATGAATTTCAGGATTCCTGTTTGGTATGAGTTGAAGCTGCTGTTCATGGCCTGGCTGGTTCTTCCAAACTTCAGGGGAGCAGCATTCATCTACAACAGGTTTGTGAGGGAGCAGGTGAAAAAGCATACTGCCATACAGGCTGCAGGTGCTGGCAGCACTAGCAACAACAACGTTATTATTAGTGCTAATGAAGATGACAAGATCCTTTCTACTTCTCCAAAAGAGAAGTCCAAGAGGAAGCTACTTTCGATGATCATTCCAAAGAAGCTCAAGCTTTGATCAATATGCACTTGTAAAAAGGAACCTTTAGTCCGTTTTATGTGTTATATTGTTTTATATATGATATCATATCTTATCTGACACCTAGGACAAGTGCTTTTTTTTGCTGTTTCCTTATGATGTTCTTTGCAAAAAAGGCTGCATCATGTATAACCATTTTGCGCATTTGTAAATAAATGGCTGTTGACAGTTATTTTTTCCTTTTGCAAAGACTTTGAAATTAATTTGGCTACGCTGAGGTACAAGTGGGTCCACAACCTGCAGAAACAACAGAGTACTCCATCCGTCCCAAAATAAGTGATGTTTTTTACTTTTAGACATCTTGTTTGACTGTTTGTCTTATTCAAAATTTTTATGTAAATTATAAAATAAATAAATCATTATTAAAGTATCTCTAATAATAAAATAAGTCATAAAAATAGATTATGTTTATAAAAAAATGAATAAAATGAATAGTCAAATAAGATATCTGAAAATAAAAAGCGTCACTTATTTTAGGACGGAAGGAGCACATAATACCTTGTCGGTTGTCACGCTGTTGATTTCATCGTCAGCTTCTCTTCACAAATTTCAGCATTTCTTTTTCAATATTTCTTCTCAAGATGGACATAGTCTGCTTAGATTTTTTTTTTATCTCCGAAGAGAAAGAAAATGATGGGAAAACACTTTGGTTGGACAGAAATAGAACTGAATGATTGTACTAGTGGCCCATTAACACTGTATTTGGTTGAAGGCCCATGCTTTAGACCCAGTAGCAAAGTCATTTGGTAGCCCATTAAGAGCAACTCCAGATTGACTAAAAGCAACCTACTTTCCCTATAGCAAGCAATAAAGAGGACTATTAAGATAATAAAAAAACATGCTATAGCAAATCCCTTTTCCTAAAATATTTTTTAATCCCTAATAATCATGCCTGTCTTCCTCAAACAAAGCGAAACAAGCAATAATTTTTTCTCAATTCCCTTACTTTCTTCCTCTTTCATTGACATCTTGGGTCCACATTGCCAAACCATCATCACAAGCGCCGCGCCGCACCGCTGCCACTACGCCATTGTGTCCTGTGCCCCACGCCGTGCTGCTCCTCCCCGTGCCATGCATGCCATAGACCTGCTCGATCTAACCCAATTCAATTGCTCTCGGCACCAACATGACGCTAAGCACGCCTTGAAGCAAGCTTAACCCGGTAATGCATCAAGTCACCACATGAAAAGACTCGATGTTATGACATTTATAGACTAAACGATGATCATGGGTCACACCCATCGTTACAACAATTTTATAATGAAATTATATAATGCATAGCTATGTTCTAATAGAAGTTATTATACACCAGAGTTCAGAGTTTTTTTTTGCACTAGATATCAAATAGTTCAAAAATATTTATACATAGATACTGCAATACAGTTTGAATACAGGTAGCAAAAGGCAAGCGCAAGTCCAAGTTGAGCCCACCGAGTGAGCCTACAACAATAACTCAAGGCCTACTCCTGGTGGCTATTATTTAGCAAGATGAACTTGCCACAACAATCATAGAACTCAACAAGCTCACCTGCAACATTAGATCGAGAATAAAGCTTAGGGTCTATATGGATGTAGATAATTGAGAGGGTTGGAATTGAATTGGGTTCAATGCCAAAGCAGCCATAGTATTGAAATAGCCACAATTCAAATATTATTGTTTGGATGACTATTGAATTAGATTTTGGAATCCTAGCAAGTAGCTCAAATCCGATTCCTATTTGGATGCAAAAGCATGCAATTGAAACTCTCTCACGCGCCGTTAGGACAGACTCGTCGTCGGCGTCCATGGCAGGTAGACCTCAACCTTGAGTGGGAGATTGATGGCGGCGCCCATGTCGGGCAGAGGTTGACTGTGGAGGAAGCTCGACGACAACGTCCATGGATAGCGGGGGCGAATCTCAACGGCACCCGTATGGGCGGGCGGGGGGGGGGCTCCGTTGTGGCCATGGGGTGAGGTTAACCCCGGCCACAACGGGGGAAGCTCGCCAGCCACCATGGGGGGAGCTCAACCCCGGCCATGGCAGGCGGACCTCGGAGCCACGACCATGGGGGATCTCGACCCTGGCCAAACGAGAGTGAGAGGGAGGGCATCTGCGATGCCGCCGTCCTCTCGGGGTCACCTCCCATCCATGCCGGCGGCTTTTTTCATGGACGCGTCGTGTGGGGAAGAAAGCAGAGCGACCGATTCATATGAATATAGAGGGGGTGGCCTCGGTATTGTGCGCGAGGTTGAGCAAGCGGCCCGAATGTCACCTGGTATTGGAGCTCGTTTCCACAAACCAATACCAAGGCCATCCAAACAATGGAGCTAGGGGCTATCAATGCCAATTCTAAATTCTGGGCCTCAATACCAACATCCAAACGGGCTATTAAGTATTGAATTGTACTCTTGCAAGACTTACCTGACTAAATACAACAAGACTCAAAGAGTTTGCATGGCAATATGGTGGAGCTAGCCGCATAGTAAGGCATAGTCCCCATGGTATCAAAGCCTTGCTTGTCTCAAGAGTTCTAACTAGCAGCCTGCCATTGCCTCCCCTCAGAAGTGTGGTTGACAATTCGAGATCGGTTGGAAAACAAGGTACATAGGCTTCCTGTGTCCCATATCCTCAGTATGTGTCTAGTATGTTCCACTTGACCAATGGTTTAGACAACAAATGGTCTTTACTCAACATAGGTGGGACAAAACAAATTAGGAAGTCATTGGTCAATTAATCATTAACTTACTCTCACCCGGTCTCAGTTTATCAAAATCATGGCCATCATCATTTTCCAACATAAGATATCCTATATCTCGCGAGTGACAACCCATCACTCATCTTCTATCGCGTCCCTAACATGGTAAAGCAATTAGAGAATCCTACACATGCTAGTTCTAGGATAAAATATCATATCATATGGACAAAGTAGATCATGCAACAACTTTGTTAAACAACTCCTATAAACTTCAATGCACAATATATATAACATAAGGACACATGTAAAGCATTTAAAATATATAGGAGTTAGGATGCTATGGGCTTGCCTAGATAACTTGCTTAATACTTATTAAGTTAGTTTTCTTTAATCGTTAGGATATGCTCACTGTACACCTCCATCTTTGGGAATTGACCACAGATCACTCCATCTTCTAGCTCCTTCACTTGCTCGTTCAACAGCTATTGTACCTAGACAATATGTAGTGATGCAATGCATGATTAATAAAAATTGCATAAATAATGAGGATGTTTTATAATGAGGAACATAATGAGTAACATGACGATGTGGGTGAGCTAGGGCTCTTATCGTCATAAGGTTCCACTCTTGATCACCTTTATGTTACAACATACTTTTGCTTCCTTCTTTGCTCCTTTTTTCATGACCTTCTCCTTCTTGGTCCTCTCTATGTAGACATGGAGATGGTCAAGGCTTGTTGAGTACCCCCATCCTCAAAATGATGCACACATGCTTATCTTGTTGGAATGTGCGTGGATGATTCTTGGGGGGCGCACTCTTCACTTGATGAGCTTTCTTCTTCATCGTCATCTCTCTCCTCTTCTTCACATGAGTTTGGTTCTTTCTGTCATAGTTTGTTCTTGTACTAGTGGTTGCTTGTGGTGGCCAAGATCTTGACACTTGGTGATGGTGGTTGAAAGGTCCTAATGGCTAGAGGGGGAGGGTGAATAGCCTAATAAAAATTTCTACAACAGCACTTAACAACACGGTTAGACAATTAAGAGGCGAAGCAAATGTTGCGCTAGTCTACTCAAATTGCAAGCCACCTACAACAATTCTAGTTTAGATAGTATCTATTCACACAATAGCTAGAACACTACCCTATGTTAGTGTGCTCTCAAAAGCTAACTAAAGAGCCACACCAACCAAGCAAGCAAGCTCTCACAACTAACTACACTAAAGAGCTTGACAACTAGTTTGCGGTAATGTAAAGAGAGTGATCAAGAAGTTATACAGCCGTGTAGATGAAGGAACCAATCAATCACAAGGATGAATAATAATGAAGACCAATCACATCGGAATCAATGACGAACACAATGATTTTTTACCGAGGTTCACTTGCTTGCCGGCAAGCTAGTCCTCGTTGTGGCGATTCACTCACTTGGAGGTTCACGCACTAATTGGCTTCACACGCCAAACCCTCAATAGGGTGCCGCACAACCAGCACAAGATGAGGATCACACAAGCCACGAGCAATCCACTAGAGTACCTTTTGGCGCTCCACTGGGGAAAGGTCAAGAACCCCTCACAATCACCACGATCGGAGCCGGAGACAATCACCACCCTCCGCTCGACGATCCTCGTTGCTCCAAGCCGTCTAGGTGGCAGCAACCACCAAGAGTAACAAGCGAATTCCGCAGCGAAACATGAACACCAAGTGCCTCTAGATGCAAACACTCAAGCAATGCACTTGGATTCACTCCTAATCTCACAAAGATGTTTAATCTATGATGGAAATGAGTGGGAGGGCTTTGGCTAAGCTCACAAGGTTGCTATGTCAATGTAAATGGCCAAGAGTGTGAGCTTGAGCCGGCCACGGGGCTTAAATAGAAGCCCCCACGAAATAGAGCCATTGTACCCCTTCACTGGGCACAGAGCGGGGTGACCGGACGCTCTGGTCCGATCGACCGGACGCTCCGGTCCGATCGACCGGACGCTGGCCCTCAGCGTCCGGTCATGTGATACACGCCATGTGTCCCCACTTCAAATATAGTTCATCAGATTTCAACGGTCATCTGTTGACCAGACACAGCGCACAAACTGACCGAACTCTGAGCCACCAGCGTCCGGTCGTTTCTAGTAAGGTTCCAAACATGAATTTTCATGACCGGTTCCGGTCATGCTCGACCGGACTCACCCAGCGTCTGGTCCCTCAATGTCTCCTCTGTGCGCCTCACGTCAGCATACATCAGCACTGACCAGACGCACCCAGCCAGCGTCCGGTCGTAGAGCGACCCAGCGTTCGGTCGTTTGACCGATGCCAG